CCCCCAGCCCCAAGACCGCGCGCCTTCCCCGCCGCCGCCTGGTTGCGGCCGCCGCCTCCCGCGCCTCTTTGCAAACTTTGCTCGCGGCCGCAGAGTTGGGGAGGCCGGGCGGGGGAGGGGGCGGTGCGCCTGCCCGCTAGCGTGCTGGAGTCCGACTGAGCTGCCCGGGACCCAGCGCTCGGCTTGCCCTCTCTTCTCCCTCCTCCTCCTCTCGCCTCTCCCCTCCCTTCTCAGCCCAGCGACTCCTTTGTGCCTTCCTCCAGTCCTCACCTCGGCCTCTCCGATCCCAATTAGTCGGTTTCAAGGGGGCCCCCTCCGGTGGCCCCGCCCTGTCCTCAGCCCCCCCACCCCAAAAAAAGGGATCCTTGAAACCGCCCCGTCGGGCTCTAAGCACCATCCCAAAATGTGCTCTCGGCCAATCAGATTTAAACCGAGGACCAGCCTGGAGGGCTGGATTGGTGGGCCACAACATAATGAGATCAGAAACCAGATGCCAACAAAACTTTCCCCCTCCTTTTGCTTTTTAAAGAGACAAGCTATTATTATATTGAGGGCTGTTTGCCCAGCACGGGATTTCTCCGGAGTCAAGGCGGCGAGATCCCGAGACACATTCCCCAGGCCTGCGGGGGACCCAGGCTACCCAGCTCTGGGTCTCTCGTCTTCGGGGGCCAAGGCGCTCTCCCCTGTAGCGCCTCTTTAAATTTTTGCCGCCGTCCCTGCGCATGGAGCCCCACCTATTTCAATCCAATTTTTCAGACCAAGTGAAAAATCTCAAGTTTAAATATACTTCGAAAGGGACTTGGAAGTTAAGTTCACGGAGACTCCGCTCAGCCTCTTTTCGTGGAGCCCAAACAGAAGTTTTACTTCTCCCTTAGGTGCAGACCCTGAGGAGTTTGCCTCGCCCCTCCCCCTACACACCCTTAAATAACCCTCTCCAAAAGGAAAGCCTGTCTCTTTAAGAGGCTCTTAAAGGGGCCTGGACTCCGGGGCGTAATTGCCCCGTAGCGAGCACAAAGAAGCCCATTATGGTTCTTTGTGTTCGGTGGCACCTCAAAGTGAGAAAACTCAGGAACTCAGAGGCCCAGATCTGGAGGGTTGGGGCAGTGGTGGGAGGGGGCGAGGTGAAGGAGAATGGTCGGGAACGGCGGCTTCTCCCTCCTCCTTCTTCCGAGGCAAATCTTAATTATGCAAAGTAAAGTTTAGTTGCCATAACGAGGAGGTCTTAATCGAAGGTTAATGGGGGGGGGTGAGGAGGGAGGGAACGGGCCGCTTGAGTGAAGAGATAACTCTCTTACGCCGTTTGGATTGTCCTCCTCTCCCCACTTACGCCTCCGCCCTCCAAAAGCTTCCAGATATGGCCTTCTGGGAGAGAGGGAGTTTTATCCAAATCTTAAGTATTCCGCACCAGAAAGGGGTAGTATGGGGCAAGTTGTGGGGAGCAAGGAGGAGACCGGAGGCTTGGCGAGGTTAGTGCCCCACCGCCAGCCCACTGTCACCTGGTTAGGGGCCGGCGGCCAGGACTGCAGGGTTCCTGCGAGTTTAGAAAGGTTTTTTTTTGTTTTGTTTGTTTTGTTTTTGCTTTCCCTTCTAGGATTTTAAATCCGAGATGGTGTGTGTGTGTGTGTGTGTGTGTGTGTGTGTGTGTGTGTGTGTGTGTGTGTGTGTTTGGGAGTAGTAGTAATTTACATGT